ATTTTATTGTGCACGTATAGCACGACTTCTTGTGTTAATCTCCGATATTATTTTGGAACATACTTAGTCTGTTTATGTTTTTGTTAGGATAATAAATATTTTTTTATTTGAATGCCCTTCTTATTTTACTTACCTTAATACTGGTAATGAAAAGAAAATATGTAAATTTACTGAAATTCTTTTATGATTTCTCTATGTAAAATAGACATAAGAGAAGGAAAAATATAGTGCTGCTTTGTAGATAATTTCAATAAACCAGTAGGACAAAATTAGTTAAAACCCCGCTTAGAGATAGGCATGGGTAGGCAGAAAACAATTCAATGTAAGATAGATGCTACTTATAGATTATCACTGTACTGCTCTAGAAATATTAATTATATACCCGTCATATTGCTCAAGGTGCAATCTTTTCCGACTAAAGTTGTCATAAAGGTTCATGCCTTCATGTCATCTCTTCAGGGTGTTCTCTTGTAGCAATATGTCACCACCTATACTGTAAATGTAATGAACTTGCAGACAAGAAGTTCTAATAGTTGACATGATATTTTTTCTATATTATTTCCTTTTGTAAAGAACATTTTTGAGTCATAAAATATTAGAGTTAGTGATAAACACTACCATATTTTAAAAAAAGGCGGTTTTGTAGGATCTAATTTATTTTCTAAAAGTAATAATTTATGAATGAGACAAATATATGCTCAGAAGTGGGTAACTAAGTATGGTGCAAACAAAATTATTAGATCAATATGTGCCTTCCTTATTTTCTTAACATTTTATTCAGTATCAATCCTCTACCTATGCATGTATGTATGTCTTGTCTCTATTCCCGTGCCTGTGGCTATACTGGTGTATTTTTTATATATAAGTTCATTGTTTTTTTTGTTTTTTTTCCTCGGTTCCTTTTTCATACTTTGATTGATATCCATCCTTCTGTAAAATCTGAAAAGAGAATTGCAGATATTACCATCATTCTTGTTAAAACATTAATTAACAGTTGTGTAGTATTAAAACATACACATTTCACTGAAAGAATGTATGGCATACACTTGCAACAAATAGTAGCGTGTTTGACCATTAACAATTAAAGTATATGGTTCTCATTATGCTGTCTATAGCAGCAAATATTACACGAAACATTAATTACACGACAATAATAAAAAAAGAAGGCTAAACAACCAAATCATCTGGAAAGTATTGTAAACCCAACATACCTCATGCCATGAGAACAGCATACATCCCGGGTGCATCGGATTTCATGGCGTTTACGAGTTTGTTTATGTTGGTGTTTTCTCGACTCGAGCAACCCTGGCATCCGTTACTCAGGATATTTCTCAGGTATCCTGCAATAGGATCAATATATGACTGTGCGTTAGTTTATGCGTCCGATTTTTTGTGGGTTGAAGAGGAGGTATACACAGAAATCTTTTTTGATGTACAGTAATGGCGTGGTTAACTTTAAAACGAAAATTGTTAAGGGATATAAACTGTATACTCAATTCATCTATATGTCTTCTAATCTCTCTCTCTCTCTCTCTCTTCTCTCTCTCTCTCTCTCTCTCTCTCTCTCTCTCTCTCTCTCTCTTCTCTCTCTCTCTCTCTCTCTCTCTCTCTCTTTTCTCTTTCTCTTTCTCTCTTCTCTTCTCTCCTTTCTCTCTTTCTCCTTTCACTCCATTCTCTCTTCTCCTCTCTCTCATTCATGCATATTTGCGTGGAAACGCACTCGCTCAACGCACACACACAAACATCCACACCACACACGCAGAAACCTATTCGCGCCCCACAGACCTTCCTCCATGGCCGCCAGCCACGAAAACTCACGTGATATCCCCAGGCACTTGGTGTACTTCGGGTGCGCCTTCGGAAGGACAGCGGCCAGGCACGCGGCGCCACGGGGCCACTTGGCGGACGTCAAGAACTGGTCGAGCTTGCCGCTGTCGACGTCCAGCATCCCCGCAGCGGTAACCTCGAGGACCACGCTCACCACCACCATGGATAGCAGTGCAGTCTTTACCTTCATGATTCTGTGGGAAAAGTACATAGCCGTTGGGGTTATTAATGTAGCGAGGGGAAGAAGCCCTCTTGTGTGTCTCTGGTCCTTGGTGTAATGTAATTCAAAAGAGACAGTTTGAAAAAAAAGGTTTAGTTCAAAATCAGTTGATCGAGGAGCCATTTCTGAAAAGACCGCCTGCCAACGCTTGAAAACCCATAATATGCATTAGGAATGGTCAGATGGTCATCCTGACTTGTAGAAACATTAGCACAGAATCAGGAAAAATGTCAAAAGTATCAATACTCGATAGAACAATGGTTCCCAATCTATCTTATTCTGTGGCCCCCGACCGATATATAATAATCTCCATGTTCAATATTTGTTATCTTTTCAGATTCAGTTGTTAAAAGTGACGAAAAGGGTAATGGTGTCAGTTGCTATTGTATAAGAGCAATTTACGGAAAGGTTCCAATTGATTGGTATGCGAGGTACTGTAGGAGAGGTGAAATTCGGTTTAATTCGCTTAACAAGCTCCATGGACCCCCGGAAAGTACCCCGTGGCCCCCAAGGTTGGGAAACACTGCTCTAGAATAATGTGATTCCACGGTGTTCATATTCCAAACTAAAATAAAGTAGTTTTACTGATAAAGTTGAGGAGGAAGACGAAGAAAAAGAAAGAAAAAGAATAAATAATAAATAAATAAATAGATAATAAAAGAAAAGAAAAGAACTAAAGGAAATAACATCATATATGTATATATGTATGTATACATACTTATATATATGTCTACACACACACACACACACACACACACACACACACACACACACACACACCACACACCACCAACATATAATATATTATAATATTTATATATATATATATATATATATATATATATATGTGTTGGTGTGTGTGTGTGTGTGTGTGTGTGTGTGTGTGTGTGTGTGTGTGTGTGTTGTGTGTGCGTGTATGTATATATATATATATATATATATAATATATATATATATATATATAATATATATAATATATATACAGAGAGAGAGAGAGAGAGAGAGAAGAGAGAGAGAGAAGAGAGAGAGAGAGAGAGAGAGAGAGAGAAAGAGAGAGAGAGAGAAGAGAGAGAGGAGAGAGAGAGAGAAACAGCAACAGACACAGACACAAGACAGAGACAGAACCAGACATCTCCCACACACATAGAATATACAATACGATTCTCTTACGGATGCACACATACAGATAGTTCTCTACGACACGACCTTACCTGCGCCAAGTGCTGCGTTGAGTGATGCTCCCGATTCGCTGGTCGACCTTATATACACGAGCCACAGTACCATGCACCGTATCCTGCACGGTTTCCAAAAACATTGAGCTTTTATGATGAGTAAACATGGCATTTTCCGGGCATTTGGTGAGCTTTTCTGACCTCCCCGATGTTGCGAATTTTTTTTATAGATATGTGCATATAGGGACTGATTGAGCTGTGCCTGTGATTAATGATTTCAGAACTATATTTGATATCGATTCCAGAATTGTTTTAGATTTGGAAATTGTCACTTTTGTATAGATTTTAGAACTGCCACTTTGATGTAAATTTCAGAAGTGCCACATTGTTTTAGATTTCAAAATTGTCAGATCGTTTTAGATTTCAAAATTGCCACTTTTTTTTTAGATTTCAAAATTGCCTTTTTTAGATTTCAAAATTGCCACATTTTTTTTTATTTCAAAATTGCCACTTTCAAAATTGCCATTTTTTTAGATTTCAAAATGCCACATTGTTTTAGATTTCAAAATTGCCACATTTTTTTAGATTTCAAAATTGCCACATTTTTAGATTTCAAAATTGCCACATTATTTTTATTCAAAATTGCCAATTTTTTTTTTTAATTTTAAAAATTGCACATTTTTAGATTTGAAAATTGCCATTTTTTAAGACCAAAATTGCCATTTTTTTAGATTTCCAAATTTACCACCTTTTTTAGATTTCAAAATTGCCATTTTTTTAGATTTTCAAAATTCTTTTTAGCAAAATTGCCCTCTTTTTAGATTTCAAAATTTTTTTTTTAGATTTCAAAATTGCTTTTTTTTAGCCAGATTTCAAAATTTTTTTTTAGATTTCAAAATTGCCATCTTTTTTTTCAAAATTGCCCTTTTTTAGGTTTCAAAATTGCCACTCTTTTTTAGATTTCAAAATTGCCACATCTTTTTAGATTTCAAATTGCCCTTTTTTAGATTTCAAAAATTGCCACATCTTTTTTAGATTTCAAAAATTACCACATCTTTTTAGGTTTCAAAATTGCCTTTTTAGATTTTTTTTTTTTAGATTTCAAAATTGCCCATCTTTTTTTAGATTTCAAAATTGCCACAATTTTCAAAATTTTTTAGATTTCAAAATTGCCACATCTTTTTTAGATTTCAAAATTGCCACATCTTTTTTAGATTTCAAAATTGCCACTTTGATATAGATTTTTGTCACTTTCAGCGTTGCCCTCTTGATAAAGACGTGAGAATTTCCACTTTTCCGAATGGCCAATCTATGAAGTGCTGAGATGTTTCGTAATAAGGTTTATGTACAGGAAATTCGAAATCCCCCCCCCCCTTTCCTTCCTTTGCTCAAATATTACTGGCCCTCCCCCCTCCCCTCCCCGCGCAACCCCATCCCCTCTCCTTCTCCCCTCCCCATCACCTCCCCAACCCCTTCCCCCTCTCCCCCTCCCTTTCCCCTTCCCCCCTCCCCCCATTTCCCTTCCCCCAACCCCAACCTTCCCCCAACCCCCTCCCCACCTTTCCACTTCCCCTTCCCCTTTCCCCCTCTCCCTCTCCCCCCCCTCCCCTCCCCCAACCCCACCCAACCCCTTCCCCCACCCCCTTTCCCCTTCCCTTCCCCTCTCCCCCCTTCCCCCATCCCCCCTCCCCTTCCCCCTCTTCCCCTTCTCCCTTCCCCCTTCCCCTTCCTTCTCCCCCTCCCCCCTTCCCCTCCCCCTCCCCCCCACTCCCTTCCTCCTT